AAAGAAAAACAGCCTTCTGAATTTAGGTTTTAAGTAACTATATGAACAACAAAAGGCAAAATCTTGTATTGTATACAGTACTATTAAAGCAAAGTTTTCCCTTACAAACCCCAAAAATTTAAGACACTATTATTTAAATTCTACTCCTACAGGAAAAAAAATGTACATGGTCTAATATTCATAGAGTAAGGTGGAGTCGTGAAAGACTATGCAGTTTTGGGAACATAATACTAAGATGCACACAATACCAGCACCTGAGATGGTTGAGAAATAGAGAGAATCTACTGGGCATAATAGAGACACACCAAGGCTTAGCCCAAGGGTGCACTGAAGACAGCAGATCCGAGAACTGCTTCCAGTAACCTCCAAGATTGGGGGCCAGATTACCAGAGTGCACACACCTGTAATCCCAGCACACAAGGGCTGAGGCAGGACTGCCACAAGTTGAAGGGGTTCAGGACTAGGCTGACCTACAAAGTGAAACCCTGTCTCAAAACAAAAAACAACGAAACAAAAGTTGTTACTGTAAGTAAAGGCAGAGTTCCAAAGATGCCGGTTTCCAAATTTCTCAATGTCTCTGAACTTTCTTTTTGTTTGAAGGCTTCTAATAAGGTTTAACGTAATTACTTCCTTAAATGAGCAAATGTACAGAAGCAGTACCACAGAGAGCACACCTATCAGCTTGCTAAAATAAATTAGCCTAATACGATACAGCAAATCTGAATACACAGAATTTGAGGGACCAGGCAATAAGCCACCAAATAGAGCCGGGCGGAAGTTTCATATGAGTGTTATCTTTAGAGTCCTAGGCAGCAAAGTGTATGCCAATATAATTTTTATAAACAGCTTCCACAGAACGTGGGAAAATGAAGAGATTCTGACACAGCTGAGAGGAATATTAGGACAAAAAGAGGGGGACCCAAGTGTAAGATTAACCTGGACAAGGCAGCATTAACCAGGAAGTGAAAATCCAAGGCAGAAAAATGGCCTCAGCCATAACATATACCCGATCCTAGAACTGCTTTTAATAACTTCTAAGCCACTTCCTCACTTCTCATCTCGGCGTTTTCATTCGGCCAAACGCTTTCAACCCCTGCCCCCCGAAGGGATTCCTATGGGGGAATGTGGCCACCGCCGCGGAGCTAGCTCCGGCTGTGGAGGTACAAAGTACTCGGCTGAGCCCCGGGTCCGAGTGGGGGTCGGAGAAAAGGGGACGATGGCTGGGACCAGGTAACAGGATGGAAGCCCGCCCGGGGAAGGGCCGGCCCGGAGGAGCGGGACGCCGCGCCGTTCCCACCGGGGCTGAGCAGAGCTGACCCCGCGGGCCGGACGAACAGAATCGGGCGGCAGGGCCTGGAGGGGACAGAGCCGCGGGGCGCGGGGCGCGGGGCGCGGGGCGCC